CGAGTCCGCCGCCGGGGCCGGGGAGGGCGTGGCGGTTCCTGCCGTTCTCCTCGCATGCGCCCGTGAGCGCCGGCGGGCAGGTTCACGGACAGGGGCAGAGCGTGAGGAGAAGGAGAGGGGAGGTCGTGTGTTTGGCGTATCGGACGCTGGATGATCGGGGGATGAGGAGGCTGGAGGGGCGGAGCGATCATAGGCCTGTTATTGGGAGCTATGCTGTCTACTTGTGATCTTCACCGCTCTCTTTCTCCCTTCCTCCCTTCTCCGCGCCCTCTATGCCCTCTGAGGATATCAGGATACGCTACGCGCTCGACTGACAAGCATACCAACAATCATAATGGAATATGTACACCACGCGCATCGGCATTTCGACTCTTCATGTCCATAGCTTTCTTTTGCATTGCCTCTTGCCTTAGACGCACTGCCTCGAGTCTCTCGTTTCCATACACTACACGCTCACTCTCGCTCTCAGACATTCGACTTTCTGAATCTTGCTTTTTTCGTTCTCGCTTAGATATCCCAGCAGTACAATGTACACACATACATACCACGACTGTTTTTCTCAGTGCACGGTCGCTTTCATGTCAACCGACGTTTTCAAGCTCGGGATCTGGCTCTACACATCAGGGCATGGATGGGTTTCGAGTCTTCTTCTGTCTTTGGACAGTTGCTGCCCGCTGGTTGAAGGAGATAAGCGTTTATGAGCGGAAGTTGCCGGCCCGTAATCGCCGACGCCTAGCAGCGACGACAGGCCGCTTGAGCGCTTGAGCTCGAACCACCATCTCCATCGAGATCGTTGTCGCAATCCTACTGTTTGATGAGATGCCACGGCTTCGCAGGAATACATATCCAGCCTGAACATGCGGTCTGGATAGTTATCGCCTACAACCTCTGGTAAGCGAAAACCGGGATATCCGTGCAACTACAGCGGCTTCGTGCCGTTTTGTCAGTTCTGTCCGACATCACAACTTAACTCCGTACCTCCCTCCGGCGTTTGGACTTCTTACTCAGCTCTACACGTCTGGGACGTCGGAGAAGACGACTTGGGAGGTAGACGCAGTCGGCATCGTGCTATCGACGTTCGGTCGTATGGACCACTAGGTACGACGAGAGATGTGTATCCGGCGTCCGCACGCATGAGACGGGATGCCCGTCGGTCTTCGCCATATGTATATGAAGAGCGACTCAATACACACCGGTAACTCGCCAGCCTCATATCCTAGCCAAGATGTCCTCCGAACCGACCCTCTTCACGCCAATCAACCTCGGCGACCTCTCCCTCGCCCACCGCGTCGTCTTCGCCCCTCTCACCCGCTTCCGCGCCGACCCCGAGACTCGCACCGCAACGGACCTGTTCGTCGAGTACTACTCCCAGCGCGCGCACACGCCCGGGACGTACATGATCTCCGAGTCTCTACTCGTCACGCCCCAGCTGGCTGGGTACCCCGTGATGCCGGGCTTCTGGACGGACGCACAGATTCAGAGTTGGAAGAAGGTACAGTAACTTCCACATCGCCTTTACACCTTTACACGCACTTGAGGTACGAGCTGATGGTGTGGGATAGGTAGTCGACGCCGTCCACGCCAAAGGCTGCAAAATCGCCATCCAGATCGCCGGCCTCGCGGGCGTAGCGTCCGCCGACTTCCTCAAAGCCCAAGGGCTAGAACACATCGGCGTGTCCAGCTCGTCCCCTTTGACGCCCGACGCGCCTCCGCGTGCGATGACCGTAGCTGAGATTAAGGAGTTCGTGCAGCACTATGCGCGCGCGGCTAAAGATGGTATCGAGAAAGCTGGTTTCGACGCGGTATGTCCCTCTCAGCATGTATACTGTTCTGCGTGTTTTGGCTGATGAGGCTGTCAAGGTCGAGATCCATGCGTGCAACGGCGATCCGTGCGAGGAGTTCCTCTCTACGAACTGGAACAAGCGTACGGACGAGTACGGCGGCTCGCCCGAGAACCGCGCGCGTTTCCTACTCGAGGTCGTCGACGCAGTCGCTCAAGCCGTCGGCATCGGCAAAGTGGGCGTACGCATCGGACCGTGGTCTCCATTCATGAGTATGTCTTATGCACTGCAGTCGGTTCCGGCATCATAGTCCACCGATGCTGATTCCCCGTCAGACATGCGCATGCCAGAACCCGACATCCTCTCCACCTACACCCACGTCGTCACCGCCCTCCACTCACGGAACATCGCCTACCTGCACGTCATCCAGCCGCGCATCTCCGGCGGCGACGAAGTCGAGATCGGCGCGCACGACAGCGACGACTTTGTCCGCGCGCTCTGGACCGGGTTGCCGTATATCACTGCGGGCGGATTCACGAGGTCGACGGCGGTCGCGCGGGCTGAGACGTATGAGAATGAGCTTATTTGTTTTGGGAGGTTGTTTATATCGAATGTGAGTGTTCTCTTTGTTGAAGGTTGGATGATGGTGATGCTGAGGAGCTTGGATAGCCGGATTTGGTTGAGAAGCTTAAGGAGGGGGCTCAGCTCACTCCGTACGATCGGGACACGTTCTATGCGGGAGGAGAGAAGGGTTACACGGATTATCCCTTTGGTCAGGCATGACTGTATGCCGTATCGGTATCCCGGACATGTATACTCGTACAAGTAGATCTGTAGGCTGCAACCGCACCTATCATCGTCTCTTATCAACGACTCGTGGTCAGAAGCTGGCGCCGGCGAGTAGATTGAGCATCAAAGATGGATATAGGCATGTCTGAGCGTGTCTGCGCGTCGAGGGTCGTAACGTAACGTATAACGATGTATGATGGGCGTATAGTATGAAGCGTATGAACCGTGAATGCGTGTATGCGTGTTGATACATGTATGCAAGAACCGGGATGCCTGATGAGAGCACAGACTACATGTACATATATGAACACAAAAGAAACCCCGAAAATATGAGATCGTGTGCCGGAATAGAAGAACAAGCTGACGATACCAGATGCCCAAACGCCAGAAGTGCGAACAAAATAAGGATATAATAATGTGGATGGGGGTAATAGGGGTTGGGGAACGGCACGCTGATCATCTTTCATGACGCGCTAAAGACGAGCGGCGGTGCGGGCCCTGCTCTGAAGCGTGCGGAAGAAGCCGACAGACCCGATGCGCCTGATGAACTCGACTTCCTCGAGAGAGGCGGCCGCTGGGGGCTCTTGCTCTTGATCGGAGTCTCTGGTGCAGCATCCTTCTCCACCATACGCTTCGCCTCCCTCCTCTCCCTCCTACTCTTCTCCCTCTCCCTGTCCTTCGTCTTGCTCGCCTCTAGCGACTCGCCACTATCAGGAGATAGCAGATCTTCTCGGCCGACAAAGTGCAGCGCCGCAAGCTTCTCGCTCATATCCGAGACAACGCTCTCGAGCTCGTCAAGCTCACGCCCAAAGTTATCGTCTTCTTCGCGTTGACGTACGAGCTCCGGTTGCGGACCAGTCGAACCCGATCCAGCAGTCGATGGCGATGAATCAGCGCAATTCTAGAAGACGAACGGAAGCTGTCAGACGAGATGAATGCAGAATGTCTCAAGTGATATGCGTACCCTTCGGGCTTCTTTCTTTGACTGTCCGAAGTCCTCGCTCCTCACATTCCACACCGTGAAATCCGCGAAACTCAACGAAGCATCAACGCTCTTCCCACGAGCGGGAGATGGCGCCCACGGCTTCTGCGTCGGTCTCGAACGTATACTCTTGATCTTCGTCGAGGCGCCGACACTGATATCAGCGCTGCCGCTGAGCTCTGAGACAGCGCTGATAGGCGACGTTGCAGCTGATGCGGCGGATACACCGCCATCAGAGGTCGTCGTCGTCGTCGTCGTCGTCGTCCGTGAAGACTCGCGTGAGATCGACAGCGGCGCAGGGACTGCGGCGGGAGGTGGTGAGAGGCTCCTGTGCGAGCTTCCTTCTTGGATCGTGCTGAGTCGTCCAGCCCCAGCAGCCCCTCGCCATGCCGCCGCCGTACTTGGACCCGGGCCTGCCCCATTCGAATGTGCAATGTAACCCGATCCGTACGTATGAGTATAGGCAGGTTCAGAGCTCTTCGATGGCGAGCGATGTGTTTCCGGGGTAGTGTTCGCAAAGACTACTCGTGGATCGTCGGCGGCAGGAGGAGCAGGGGCGGGGAAGGGTATGAACCCCTCGGCCAATCGCGGCGGCCCGCGGACTGGTACAGAAGGCGAACCGAGAGCATGGCGCGCGATAGCTTCTGGCGAGAGTAGACGGAGATGATTGGAACGAGAAGAAGACAAGACGAATGAGGTGCCAAATCCTGGGGCAGGAGCGGGCGCTGGGGCCTGTTGAGACGCGGGGGAGTGAGCGGGAGTTGCCGTCAATGTTGAAGTCGACCTGAGCGGGAGACCACCGAGGCTGGCAGTGGTCGAGGGTCGGATCGTCAAGCTCATACCAGCAGAGTTCTTCGAAGGGGCAGAAGAGCTCATCGTGGTCGACGCTCAAGGAGCGCAGCGAGAATAATACTTTGATTCAGTGGCTCGTCACCCATTGCAACCGCCCCACGGCTATCTCAGACAGCCGCCGGCACGTGCGGCACGGAGCCTACCACAGCATTTGCCATTTCATAAATGTATCTTTGCGCTTGTCGGGCGATTCGGGCTTGTTCGCTACGGGCAAAGAACAGGAAGGACAGAGATAAAAGACGAACATGTGCATGATCGGTACAGACGTCGGCGGTGCGGCGGCCGGCGGGGTATGATGCCGTTGCAATCGGCGGGGTACGTTCCCTCGTCATCCTGCGCGCCCGATCATCCGAACAACAGCTCGCGTCTCGAGTCTCGACTCGGCTGGCGCGTCTTGGCAAGCTCGGCCTCGTTCTCCTCCAGCTTGGCTTTCGCGCGCCACGCGCGGCGCTTGCAACACGCTCAAGCTGCAGTATACGAGTCTCAAGTCCACTGTTCGAGCTCGATGGAGGCGAAAATCCGGCGGGAATGGGCTGGATGGAGAGCGAGGGCGCTGGATGGACCGGGCTTGGCGCGGTGAGTACAGCGACTTCGCCCCAGATCTGGCTGCTCCGTCCCCTGTCTCCCCTGTTGTACGTCCTCCCTACCCCGCACAGCGAGATGACTGCCATCTGGTCGTAAGACGCGCCGCGAAGCGAGCTGGAGAGGCCTGAGCCGACGACACCTGCGGTCCTGTGGCGCGGTCCATCCCCACACCCAGAGTGCTCTCGCCAGCCCCACCCTTCCCGGCCCGCTGCCTTTGTCCCGCCGTGCAGTCGCACTGCTGTTGCTTCTACCTCCCTCGCTCAGGTTCTAAGACGTGCTTCGAACGGGACTGGCGAGGCTTGCGCTGGGACACTTGCGGTTTCGTGACGCGGCACCTTGCCCCACGCCCAAGTTGCTCTCACCGGCCCCATCCCCTCTGGCCCGCAGCCTGCAAGGCCACACTTCATCCGTTTTTTCACTCCCTCCACACTGTGGTCATTACCTTGTACCTTACAATATTTTTTCTCGCTCAATGGCATTCCCATTCTCTTCAGCTCTCCGCTTCGCTACATTCACTACGTATTCGAGCACTCCGATCGCAGCTTCTGTATACGGTACAAGTGACACTGTGTCGGCCCGTAGTCCCATACATCGACGGCGGCTTGAAGCACCGAAAAAGACCTAAATGAGCATCCTACAACACACACGCTCGAACTCTCCGGCCACAGCATGCGCAGGCTCGACCTATACGCCAGCCGCGTCTCCGGCACCTTTCTCTGGCCCTGCTCCGCTCGCGCTACCGCACCCCGTCGAGCTCCCGCCCTCACATGTACTCCGAGCGCCCGGGAACGTCGGTGTGGTTATCTCACTGGTGGCCAACACACTACGTGCACAACTGCTACAAGACATCGAGACATCGCCCAAACTCTACCTCATGAAGAACAGGCAAGAGCCGCAATATAACGGCCCCCCCGAAGACGACTCTCATGCAACTCTGCCACTACCTCCACCTCTGCGATAAGGAAGAGCGCAAAGTGCTTATCCGGATTCTCTCGAACGAACACCCGTTCGCACTCGAGAAATTCCGCCACAGCTACTCGCGCAACTACAAGACATACAGCATCCTGCCCCGCGAACATCGCTTCTGCCGTCTGTGCGCCGGTGCAACGGAGTCGCCAGAACACGCGCTCTTGATCTGCACCGGTGACGACAGGTTACGCGATATGCGGGCAATCTTCCTCGCTCAAGCAGCGGCCCGTCAGCCCGGTCTCCCGGACACGACTGACGCCGCGCGCGCGACGGAGACGCTGCAGTCTTTGCTCTCCTTACCCAGTATCGCAGGGGAACTGGCAAGGTACATAATCTTCGTCTTCGACCTGTTCGATATACCCTGATCTGGCCACCGGATCCTGTCACAAGGATACCTAGAAACGCGACTGCTGGACACAGTCGCGGTCGCGGGCGTGGTCGCGGGCGTGGGTAGACGTCTCGTAGCGCAAATACGCGAATACGAAAAGATATGATAAATAAGACTCCTAAAAATAATAGCACACCCCCGAGCTCGAAGATGGTCCACTTTAAACGTAGTGTCAACGTCTCGATGCGGAGGATCAGTGTAACGTGTCGCGCCTGGGAACAGGGGCTAGCCGGGATCCAGCCGGGACCGATTAAGGGTCCGATGGTGGTCTACTACTACTACTACTTGCCTTCATGAGCAGAGACATACATCCAGCCCCATATTCCGAGCTCTCTATTCACAAGTTAGCCGATGCTACCGTGTAGCAACGTCTGTGCAGAGAAGAATGCGCACCATAACCACTTGCGCCACCCGCCGCGTTCAACTGCGAGTGCAATCAATGCGCCTCCTCTGCTCCCGATCTCGCCACTGACTCAAACTGGTATCTATCTGGTATAATTACATGGGACCATGGATCAGCATTTTCGTCCGGCGTGGAATGGATCCGCATTGAAGCTGCGAAGTTGCACTGGAGTCGCTTTGTCGGCGTTTGCCGTTCCATGTTCGCTTCAGCCGACCAGACAACGCCTACCCGAGGTCATAGGCCGTGAACCGTGCTGTGTTTGTCCATATTCGCCGTCGAATGCAAGCACACAACGCCGCATTGCTTGGTCATCTCCTACCCAAACACCGTAGGGCCGTCGGTGTTATATCTGCAAGGTAGCCCGACCAGAGTCGGACTATTCACTCTGAATTGAAGCTCGCCATCCCGACGTTATAGGCTCCAGAAGCAAGTAAGGCGTTCCGGATCTGACTGCGCAACTCGTGGATTGGCTCGACTATATAAAGCTCCGTCTAAAGGTCAACATGCAGCACTTCAACTCAGCCGTTGACGGCTTCATCTCTCTCCACATAACCTTAACAGAATCACCATGACCCAACCTCTTCAACAGAAAGTCTGGCGTCTCGGCGAGATCGGCGCGGGCTACAATGCAATGAAGCAGCACCGCGAGCCTATCCCAACTCCAGGTCCAGGTCAATACCTCGTCCGGATCCACTCCGTCTCTCTGAACTACCGCGACATCGTTTACGCGAATGGAACATACCCTGCTCCTGGATTGAAAGGCGGTATCGTACCAGTTTCGGACATGGCCGGCGAGATTGTGGCTGTTGGCGAGGTGGGCCGTGTTATTCGAGCCTAGAGCAGCATGTAGTGATCTTGCTCGCCCCGTACTAGAACGCGTTGAAGTTTAAGGCTGGTGATAGAGTCACGTCTATCCAAGAGCAAGCGAACATATACGGCTTAACCGATGCGTTACACCCACGTATGTCCGCCACAGTATCACTTCAACGTGCTGCTCTGATCCACTTCGCAGAGATCCTGGGAGGACCTCTCGACGGAGTCTTGCAAGAATACCGCGTCTTCGACGAGATTGCCCTCCTCCGTGCACCAGACTATCTCACAGCAAGTCGCTACTCTTCTCCCTTCCCTATTTGTACTGACATCTTCAGCAGTACGACGAACTCTCCACCTTCCCCATCGCAGCCGTAACAGCCTGGAACGCCCTCTACGGTGGCAAAACCAAGCTCATACCCGGCGAAACCGTCCTCCTCCAAGGCACAGGCGGCGTATCAATGTTCGGCCTCCTCATCGCGCACGCCGCCGGCGCACGTACAATCATAACATCGTCCGAGGACGCCAAGCTCGCGCTCGCAAAAAAGATGGGCGCGACGCATACCATCAACTATAAACGCACGCCGGATTGGGATGTCGAGGTGAATAGGTTGACGGATGGAGTCGGCGCGCATCATGTCATCGATAATGTTGGGCTCAATGAGATTGAGAGGTGTTTTGGGGCGGTGGCTACGGGCGGGAATGTCATCAGCGTTGGTGGACTGGGTGGGAAACCGACGGCTGTACCTAACATCCCTATGCTTGCGATACTTAAGCAAGCCATCCTGCGGTACGCGTCTTCAGATATTGCGCTGGAGAGATCGTGGCTGACATCCTCGCGACAGGGGCGTTATCGTCGGTTCAAAGCAGCTATTCGAAGAGCTCCTGCGGTTCGCCGAGGTCAACGAGATCCATCCTCATGTTCATCGCACCTTCGCGTTTGATCAGGCCATTGAGGCGTTCCAGTATCTGGAGGGAGCGCAACACTTCGGGAAGGTCGTCATACATGTAACCTCGCACTGATGCCTGTGATGTCTATGTCCCCTGTCACGAGTACTTCACACAGATCAGTCGGGCAAAGAGCATTCTCACAAATGACAGTCTATGTACAAAAGAAGGACGAGGTGTAATGACACGCACGCGACGAGATAGGGATGTACGACGGTACTGCAATGTGATCACTGGAACACTGAGTTCGGCACATACAGCGGCATAGAATCCTCCCAAAGACCATTCGTTAAAACCGTCTTGTTCGACCCATCAGCGTTCATAGCCATAATCTGGCCATACTGCTGGAACGTATCGTCATACAGCGACGCCTCGTCCTGGAAGCCGAACTCGCCCGTCGAGTACAAGATACGACCATCAGCGGACCAGACGGCGTGCCCGTCGTTCGCCTGGCTCGTAGTGAGCACGGTGTAGTCCGTGCCGTCCGGGCGGATGGTGCAGACGTTGTAGTCGTCCTCGTACGGGCTATCGTTCGGCACGCTCGTGCGGCGCGTGAAAACGATGCGCTCGCCGTCGGGCGACCAGCCGGGGAGGTTGTCCCAGCCCGTAGTCAGAACGGTGACGCTCTTGTCGGTCAAGTCCATGATGCGGAGGCCGAGCGGGCCGTTCTCCCCATCCCACTCGCGGTAGACGAGGTAGCGGCCGTCAGGGGAGAAGCTGGGGAAGCCGGCGTTGACGGTGCCGTTGGTGAGCTCCTCGTAGTACGATCCGTTCGACGTCACGCGATAAAGCCACGCGGTACCCGTAGCGCGGCTGCCGAACCAGTTCCCGAGACCAAAGGCGATCCACTCTCCGTCTGACGACCACGCCGGCTGGAAAGCGCCTGCAAGTCCAACACCCAGAGAGCTGTTGTCTATCTGACCGGTGCTTGAGACGTCGAAAACAACCTGCATGTCTGAACCGGAGGGGTTCATGGTGACGATGGAGGAGTCGCCGAGTTGCTTCTGCGTGAGGGCGAGGACACCCTGCTTGGACAACGTCGGGAAGACGTCGCTGAAGCGGTACTCCCACTCGTCGTCCCAGCTGTAGAGCACCTTGTCTTGCGGGCGCACTGGAGTCCATGCTGTCTTCTCGTACACGACTTGCGAGCCATCGGGGGACCACGCCGGTGAACGCAACTCCGACGCGAAGGCGGTGTAGTTCGTCGATGCGCCGGCAGTGACGCTCGTGTAGTTGAGACCCTGGCGGAGATAGATAGTCAGACGCTTGATCGCGTTCTACATGCAACTTGGACTCATACCTGAGGAAGTGCGCCGCTAGTCTTGTGCAAGAACCCGATCGTGTCCGCGGTCACGTACTGCGGGTTGACCTTGAGTCCCGCGTCATCCAGAGAGGTGTGCTCGATGCGTTCCCCACCGCTAGCGAAGTCGACCGATACGATCTGAGAGGTGACGCTATCGACACCCTCCGGTCGGCGCGCACCCCAGGTGTTCTCCGTCGTCAGCTCGTAGAACAGAACACGCGATCCATCCGGCGAGAACTTCGGCGAGCCCAGCGCGTAGCCGTCCTTGGTGACAACCTGGCGGAAGTCGCTACCGTTGGGACGTATGGCATAGATCGACAGCTCTTGGGTATGCTCCCAGCCGGTGTTGTTGTTGTGCCCGCGCCACAGCGTGTTCTTGTCGGAAGAGAAGACGAGCCACTCGCCATCAGGCGACCAGCTCGGGCGGAAGTGACCATCCGGAAGGCTCGAGTTGCCTGCAATTGCGTCGGTGTTGGTAAGGTTGCGCGACTCGCCAGTGCTGAGGTCCAAGACCCAGATGTTGCTCTTGTAGTTGCCGTACGTAGATTGAAAGGCGACGAGTGTGCCATCGGGCGAAATCGCACCGCCAGTCTCGACTGCGGGTGTGGCGACGACCTGCTCGAGCCCGCTGCCGTCCGGGTGTACGCGCCACAAGTCGGAGTTGCCATCACCGTTGCGCTCCCTGATTGATCCTCGTCAGCAAGACGCAGAAGTGTTGAACGAGGGACGTACGAAGTGAAGATGATCCATTCACCGTCCGGAGACCATTGTGCGTGGTACTCGAATCCGGTGTCGTCGCCCAATAGCAACCGCTCATTGCTCCCATCCGCGTCGGCCACGTACAGTTCAGAGACAGAGGGCGCAATCCGGTTCATGAAGAAGACACCCTTCTTGCCCTCGGCAGGTGCACTGCGAGCCGAGATAGACCGCGACTCAGCATGTTCAGCTGAGTTCCGGAAAGGACAAGTAGGCATGCTACGCTTCGCTTGCTCTGCGTAAGGGCATGTTGCGGCGGCAGCAAGGCCGAAGAGGAAGAAGGGAAGGACGACCGCGCGCATATCGTCCGCGCTGCAAGTGGCGAAACGCGGGGGATGAGCAGCTCAGACTCAGTTGTCCAGTCCGAAGGCTTCCATTTATTGAAGTGTCGGCGACAGTATATGCAGCGGTCGAGGACGGGCTCACGACGTTCGGATGTAGGTAAAGGTCACTGCGATCAAGAAGGACCATAGTGCTGCGCGCAGGTCCGAGCGAACTCGCCGCTATGAATTCGCATGTACACCGAGACCGGAGAAGACTGCACTCTTCTATTTTCGCGACGTTTAGGTCTTGGCAGGTCCATGGTCGTCCAACGGTCGAAGTCTCTGTATCAGCCGACCATCCAAGGCATGCGAGTAGCCGATGTTCGGGTATCGACCCTTCAGTGCTGTCGGTGAAGTTGCACATGGACAATGTTTATTCCCGAAGATCAAGTAGTAGTACGCCGCAGAGGAAACGTCTAGGATTGATAGTTGCATGGACCACCCTGACCTTACCTGTGTCAGTCGCGTCTTCAACGAGTGGAACTTGCTCAGTGCTCACTTCCGCGAGACACATAGAGTTTCGGTGGTCTAATATTCTCATGACAAGATGCAGGTCGCCATCCTATCTGATAGCACCGGGCCATCGCGTCCAAGTTTCCACACCGAAGCTATCTTCGACCACCCCCTGGCTCTCGTTCATTTTGTTGCCGTCGGGAACAAGCTTTGAGATCAAGCAGGCGGCTGCGGGTCGTCAAGAAGCCCCGGCATGGCGGGGGCCAATGCCACTCGTCCGATTCCTTGGTCGAACCCCTCTGCCACAGAAGACCGTAGGGGCTTGTACAGAGCTGGCCACGGCATGACAGCTGATACGAGATGCGATCAACGCCTTTTGCACCACGCGCATGTGGGGATCATGTCCGCCTGTATTCCGAGTGTCTAAGAATAGGGAAGGCCGAACATGAGTATAGACATATACTCACCGAGAAACTTGCGGCCGGAGGGAAACCCGAGAGCCGCACAATTGCCTGCACATGCACAATCCTATGTATGCTGATTTGCGTAGTCTTGGAGCGCAGCCAAATGAGATAGCATGTATAGACTCATGCCGACGAGTGCTTGACGCTGTATACCGGCTATCGTCGTTGGTACCGAGCGAAGTCCAACGGGTACATCTATGGATTGAGGAGGTAATTGGGTGCCATTTGACTAGTGACTAGGAAGTTTGGGGAGAAAGCTAGACTCATGATGCATGATGGAGGTATGGTGCAGGTTTGTGACCTCGGGTGAGAGCACGAGGCTCGCGTTCTGAAGGCGTGAGAACGGCGGAGAACGCCCCAATTAGCCGTTCAAGCCTCCCTGTCGTGCGATACTCTCCCGCGCGTGGTCTGCGGTTGCATACTGTAGGACTTTCAACGAGTCTCGAAGCTGTTCTGAAGGTAGCGATCATCTTCAGTCAGGAGAACGCTTTATGAGCAGGCGAGAATGTGAGATTGCGCAAATACAAAGCACAACTTTTGAATCTCGTCAAAGCGGCATGTGGCGCCAAAGTACCAGTAAATAAGTGTACATGCAATCCGAATACAGCTTCTCATAGCCTTCCCCCTCTCATTCTTCCAAGACGTTTAGAGCTAGCTCCCGCGCGCGCCGTAGACCTTCGCGGTCAACCTCGCCATACTTGTCAAGGGCGCTGAACGAATTGCCGGATCTTTTCGCCCTTCGTACCGTCAGAGGCTTCCCACCGCGTCGATACTGCCTCAGCGCCCCATTAAGACTATCCCATCCCGTCTTCCACTGCTCTTCGCTAGGATGATCGAGCCCTTCGACGAGGATGACCTGGCGCAAGGCGGGTAACAGTGGTCGGTCTCGCGTGCACACGGCATAGCGCAAGAAACCACAATGTACAAGATCCGTCTTGAGAGTGTGTACAGAGTCGAGTACACCGTCTGGTATCGCAGGCGCAAGCTCCTGCCATAGGTCACAGCGGCTGATATCGAGCACGTTGTACGCAGTCTTGATCGTATTGAAAAATGCGGCTGCGACCTCGCGTCGCTGCCAAGAAACCGGCATCGCAGCGAGATTGTTATAGGGAGTCACAGATACTCGTATATCCCCTGGAGAGTCTACTGTATCCTCCCTTCGTATGAGGCCAAAGCCAATGTGAGGGCCGGGCATATTTCCGGGTGCTCTGGTCGGCAACTCCTGTGTAGGTTGTAGAACGAGCGCGCCATGTTTGCTGTCCCAAACTCGAGGTAGGATGGACTGGAATAGTGACGAATAGAGACGGCTATCTCCTGCGTGGGGTTGTATCGAAGTATCCAATTGTACAGAGACGCGTGACTCGGAAGACGAGCTGATGATTGGCAGTAATTCGGCGCAGTTCGTGATGTTCCCGGCGAGTCGCAAGCGTCTCAAATGAGGCAACAATAATGGAGCGGAAAGGTCTGTGCCGGATGTAATCCGGCTTCTTGTGAGAGGCAGTCGCAGTTCGAGCACCTCGAGTTTCGGCATCGACCGCAAATTTCGCAACAAGGTATCCAATCCATCTTGAGACTTAGAGTTCAAGGAGGCTGGATGACGAGGTAGCCCCTCCCAGTATGTGTAATTCATCCAAAAGTGCGTCAAGCGAGGCGCAGAAATCGGCATGTATGGATCGCTCATCGTGCAGTGCCGAAGATTCGGTGCATTCAGCGCGCAATCCTGGGGAGGAGCTTCAAGATAATATGCGTGCGGCCAGCAAACGAGCTTCTCCAGTCTCTCCAAGATGGGTATCTGACGGGTTTGACCCTCGAGAGTGAAAAGAAAGCCGCGAAGCTGATATAGCCAGCGGTCGGGGTACGAGATATCTAGCTCCCGCAAACGAGGCATGAATTTTTTGACTAGGCTTAGATCCCGTTCGAAGTACCGCTCCGACTGCCAAATCCCAGCCGAGGCGCGAAGTGGAAGGTCGCCTGCGCGACTTAAGATAAGATCGAGAGTGTCGTAGGGTATGGCGAGGATGTTGAGATCAGCCCATAACCGGGGACAGAGCTCTACACCGACTGTACGCCACAAGTTACAGACATGCGTCAATCGTATCCATCCTAAATCGCCGGGTTGCGTGTGAAAGTCATCCGGGTAGAGATTGTCCGATTCGATAGCCATGTCAGCGGCATAGTTGAATGCGCTCCTGTGCGCCAGAAAAGGCTCGAGATTGGCAGATACTTCGAACAGCTCGCACAAGATGTCCGTGGGTAGTCTTTGTGCCATGCCTCTCGGTAGCCTCTCATCGGCCCTGTTAGTCAGATTAACCGGTGTGCGTGGCTCAACGATGGTGCATTTTGCGTACATGTTATGCGTCTTAGAACCCGAAGTAAGATGGTGGGCAGAACGAAGTGGTGCGTGCGCACCTGATCGCGCTTCCCACCCGGGCCAACTAGCCTCCTATCAGGTGGGCCTGATTCCAGGCTAGTTAGCCCACCTC